GGAAAGTCTTAGTCCTCTTTAAAGTAGATAAATAAAAAAACAACAGATAAGTACATAGGAAACACTTTCATAGGAAATAATGTCATCAGTATCCTCTTACAAATGTCATATTTCCCAGTTTTTGGGACATTAAAACATTTCTGATTCTCAATCAGATGTTTTTACATTTGCGGTAAAAACATCTAATTGAGAATCAGAAATGTTTTATTGTCCCAAAAGCTGGGAAATTTGTTTGCTGCAGCAGAAGTGTAACAAGTAAAATGGAATCAGATTGATGTATGTACAAATTTACTTGAAATACACATTTACATGATTAAATATGTATAATAGGTATGTGTGTTGAAATTAGTTTTTACAGTTATTGCTCATTAAACAATGTACATGTTATTAAACAAATGTCCCGGTTTGTGGGACAACCAAGGATTTCTGATTCCGATTGTCTTGTTTACAGAAATGTAATGTACAGCTTACCTCTGCACCCAGCTACTGTTCTCCCTGGCCAAACGTCCTCCGTTTGTTGGCTGCTGCACTGATGCGCTGCATTCCTCAGTCAGAGAATGAATGGAGTCCCCAATGAGACACAAGTTCCACATCCACCTTCTGTGGATCCCAGCTGTTTTGAATAACAAACACAGAAAGCAAAATAACGCATTAGCGTGATTGCATCCAGCTAGCCACTGCTTCCTGGTGTACCAATTTTGGGAGAAGCGTCGTGTGTACAGTTTACCCTTCTCCTTGTCCTGCTGGCTTATCTTTACGTCGGGCTGATCTGGTCCAAGCTCTTTGACATTAAGTTTTTCCACCATAGTTCTCCTCTCGAACGGATACTGGAGAAGAGACCGAACTGAATTCAGTGGCTGCTGAGATCCGGTATCCATGTTGTAGGCGCACTGGCATCCATGTCTACGTCTGCGTCATGACCGTCACGAGTCACGACCAAAAACGTGCTGGAGTCGAGACTCTCCGAGTTCTACCGAACACCAACGAAAGCCTTGGCGGTAGCTCTATCGCCCATCATGCTTCTGAAACGTTCTGAAACAACGTCGACGCTGATTGGATACATTCCCATTCCTACCCTTTGATTTTCTTGTCAGCAATTGGACAACTGGTCCCGTCCTGTTTGGGCGATTGAAAAACAGCACACAGCCTCCACCGCTCGGCAGAGACCGGCAGAGATCGGCAGAGACCGGCAGAGACCAATATATATATATATATATATATATGATTTATTTTTGTTACAAAACATACAATTAACTTAGAATATGTGATTATTGTTAATTTTCTTTATTTATTTTTTTAAATAAAAATTAAAAACACAGGGGAAACTGGGAGGGCGGCGCCCTATCGCCCTCTACTGGCCAGCCGCCACTGTGGGCCGGGCCGGGTGCCTTTATTTTTAATCGAATTCATTAAAAAATTGAAAAAAAAAAAATAAAAATTTGAAACACTTAAACCAGGGGTCGGCAACCTGTTCCTATCAAAGAGCCATTATTACCCATTTCCCACAGTAAAGAAAACACTGGGAGCCACAGCAGCTGCGGCGTTGTGGGCAGGGCCTACCCTCAGACAGCAGAGCGCTGCTCACAACAGGTGACAGCAGCCGGTACTGGTCGCTCGTGTGCGTCAAATTTATCTTTCATAAGAAGATAATAAATAAAACAATTTATATAAAGTGGATCCAGAAGTTGTAGCCCGTCTCTGCCTACAATATTTTGATATTTTTCACCCTGTTGGTGGTTTTACTGAGCAGGTGCCACGTTTGTCATACATTTCTTTTAAAAACATGTTTAGACTGTTCAGAATACAAATCCAGGCTCTGTCACGTTTGGTTGTTGTAATTAAACTTTGTGGGTGGGGAAGGTCAGAAAAGGATCCGATTATTTTGTTTTTCCCTCATTTACAGCGACGGAGATAACGGCGCAGTGCGCCTGGCTCTGGTGTTAATCAAGTTTAATTTTATCTATTTTCACAAGAAAACAGAACAGGTAAAAGCAGGGCTTGTGTTGACCGGACAGTTCCCATATTTGACCGTTTATTTTGATGGAGAAAGAATAGAAAGAATTACCCCGACGCATGCAGACGAACTGACATTTTATTCTACGCACATCGCAGATGTAGTTAGATCGCTCAAGAAAAGATTCCCATCTGAACATCTGAGCTGGACACTGCTCACTGCAGCTCGCTGTCAGCGTGTACTACATAAGGTATACAGCGAGCTGAAGATGTGGAGAGGGGCTTGGAGCATGTCGCAGAACCAGAGCGCATGCAGGAAGATTCCTCCGACTGAATTCAGTCGGAGGAATCTTCCCGCTGATCTGAATCTGATGCGGCTCTCTGTGCTTGTAAAATAATGAATGGATATTTAAATAAAATGCTTTATATTTTACTGAATTAATTTTATATCTGTAAGTCAATTCTGTGTAAAGATTGTCTGCGTAAACCTGAACAGGCCCAACCCAGTCTTGCTGTGAGACCAGGTTGACGGGTCACGCTTGTGCGTAGTCAGAGGCGCTTCCTGAGCTGAAGAGGATGTAAGATTCTGGGATTCTCCTCAGACGGCTCCTGGATGCGTCGCCACATTGGAGACAGGAACAAGCACTATTCAGCCAAAGTTTCATAATCAGGGAACATTTTCTAAGTGACAAGTCTCTCTGAGAGACAGGGTTTGGAAAATACTCGCTTCAGTGGGAGGAACCTTCCCGCATGCGCTCTGGTTCTGCGACACGCTCCAAGCCAATCTCCACAACTTCAGCTCGCTGTGCACATATGCGCTGACAGCGAGCTGCGCTGAGCAGTGTGCAGCTCAGATGTTCAGATGGGAATCTTTTCTTGGGTGATTTAGCAACATCTGCGATGTGCATAGAATGAAATGTCAGTTCGTCTGCATGCGTCGGGGTAATTTTTCCTATTCTTTCTCCGTCAAAATAAACGATCAAATACGGGAACTATCTGGTCAACACAAGCCCTGCTTTTAACTGTTTTGTTTTCTTGTTAAAATTGTTGGAAAGAGATAAAATTTAACTTGATTACCACCAGAGCCAGTGCGCCATCATCTCCGTGATGGTAAATGAGGGAAAAACAAATTGATCGGATCCTGCACGTCTTTTAACACATTGGTCAGGATTGACGCACTTTGTTTTCATTTAGTTGGTTAAAAAAAGTCAGGCTCAGGCTCGGGTCGGCCCAGAGAATCCTGAAAACCTTCTCGGGCCGGGTCGGGCTGGGGCTCCACCCCCTCGGGCCGGGCCGGACACGGGCTCAGATTTTAGGCCCGTGCAGGGCTCTAATTGGAAGTCATTTTGGATGCAATATTATGCTGTATGGATGGTTTTGTTGGGATGACAAGTAGTTCAGTTTTAGAGAGGTTGAGCTGGAGATGGTGGGATTTCATCCATTTTGTTATGTCAGAGAGACAGTTTGATACTCATGCAGAGACAGTGTGGTCGTCCGGTGGAAATGACAGATAGACCTGGGTGTCGTCTGCATAGCAGTGGTAGGAGAAGCCATGTGATCGAATGATCTCACCCAGTGAGGTGGTGTATGTGGCAAAGAGAAGAGGTCCTAGTACAGAGCCCTGGGGGGCTCCTGTGGCAAGATGGTGCATGGTAGAGGATTGTCCAAGCCAAGATACACTGAATGATCGTCCTGTGAGGTACGATTCAAACCAGGCGTGTGCTTACTCTGTGATGCCCATGCTAGAGAGTGTGAACAAAAGGAAGCCATGGTTGACAGTGTCAAATGCAGCCAATAAGTCGAGCAGGATAAGCACTGAGGATTTGCCTGTCGCTCTAGCTTCTTTTAAGGATTCAGTCACTGCTAACAGAGCGGTTTCAGTGGAGTGGCCCTGTTTGAACCCAGACTGGTAAGGGTCAAGCAGACAGTTTTGTGAGAGGTATTCTGTGATCTGCTTGAAAGCCACCCTTTCAATGATTTTGGACAGAAAAGGGAGGAGAGAGATAGGTCGGTAGTTCTCCACGTGATTTGGAGGAAGAGATGTTTTTTTGGCAGCGGTTTAACCTGAGCATGCTTGAGAGAGGTGGGAAATGTACCGGATGTCAGTGAAGTGTTGATCACGTTTGACTGCTGCGGCTACTGTAGGAGCAATAGCTTGGAGCAGCTTAGTCGAAATGGGGTCAAGTGGGCATGTAGTAGGGCGGCTGCACGTGAGAAGCTTGGACACACAATTCTCAGTGAGAGGGGAAAAAGAGGAAAATGAAGCAGTAGGGCCTGAGATGGTTGGGCTAGAAGGATTTTGTGGTTGCGAATGTTCAGGAGTGTCCAGTTGAGTAAACTGTTTGCTTATAGCTGCCACTTTGTCAGTGAAGAATGAGGCAAAGGTGTCAGCTGATAGATTGTTGGTAGGAGGTGGAGATGGAGGGTTGAGCAGAGTTTTGAATGTTGAAAATAGTTTCTGAGAGTCAGTAGGGCTGAGAATTTTGTCAGTGTAGAAAGCTTTCTTTGCATCAGTGATGCTGGCAGAGAATGAGGACAGTAATTCCTGAAATTTCAATTGATGACCAGGATCTTTTGTTTTGCGCCATTTCCGTTCCGCAGCTCTAAGATTGGTGCGTAGAGACCGGAGGGTATCATTTAGCCAAGAGTGCGACTGAGAGGATCTAGCAGGTCTAGTGGCTAAAGGGCACACGTTGTTAAGACAAGAGCAGAGTGTGGAGCAGAGTGACTAGGTGGCTTCATTCACTTCATAAGCAGAGAATGTGCTGGGAGATGGAAGAGTGGAGGCAACAAGAGAGGAGAAGTAGTTGGGTGCCAGATTGTGGAGGTTGCGGCGGAATGAGACCATTGGGGAGGAAGCAGTGGACCTCCCTTGTAGAGTCGTGCTGAAATGGATGAAGTAATGATCCGAAAGATGCAGCGGTGTGACAGAGATTGTGTCTATGGCATTGATGGGTCTGATTTAATAACTTATTTAAACTTTGCTTTAGAAAAGATATTCATTATACAATTATCATTTAATTGAATAACTAGAAAATAATCTCAAATGTCTGGTAACCTGTTAGAGGTGCGCAGAAGAGCATCCAGCTGCAACACTGAGAAATAAAGTTAAAATAAAACCCTGACTTATTTTCAGATGGAAACACTATTTTATGAAAACACAACTTGTGATTGACCTCACTTGTAATTTCCCAAACACGAAAACTCATCAGTGAACATTTACTAAAGAAGTACATCCTCGTTTTCTCCTACACTTTCCATTTTCCTTCTCTACAGATCTTTTTCTTTCACATTTGTCCAGATGATTCCTCATGATCGTTCATGTAAATGAAAATAAAGATAACCGTTGTCAGGTTGAATTGCACCGTGGATCTGGTGGGAGAGTCTGCACCCCTGGCTTTATTCAGGATTTATGTTTTCTTGTTTATTCATTTTTCTTATTTTTATTCTCCTTTTTTTCTCCTGTAATAAGTGTCATCGCTGCTGTGACATCTAGCTTTCCCCACTGAGGAACAATAAAGGGATTTTCTATTCTATTCATCTATCTGCAGCCTTTCCACTTCCTGTTTACTGTAGGTTAAATCTTTTCTCACGGAACAACAACAAAATAAAAATATCATTTTATCTTAAATGAAAATGCAACATCTCACCTGTTAACTTTCATGTTTTGGAGCAGAAAAAGAGCATAAATCCAACATATTTAAAGCTCAGTTTGCTCCACTGGTTTACTGTGATGCTCACCTGTTCCAGCCAGATACCTGCATCATGGGGCTGATCTGAGCTGAGGAGGAGGCTCCTATTGTTTTGTTTATCTTCATCATAATAATGACAACATTAGATGACAACAGGTGCTCACATAGGTTTGTGCTGATGAACATGTCTGAGCAGCTTGACCACGTTGTTGTGTCAGGGAGGAAACACGACAGCAGCCACAGAGTCGTGCTGGTTTGAGCGTGTCGCTGCTTGCTGAAGTTATATCAGCTCTGTCTGGACGTTAGTTTGAAAACTTTCTCTTTCAGTCGTGAACACATTACTGAGCGGTTAGAATCTCCGTTTCTGGGCTTCAACGTCAGAAAACAGCTGAGTGAACTCGGCGCTGAGAGGAGTGTAGTTTGTCCGAGACAGCGGAGCTGCAGACACCCAACTACCTCTGACTGCCTCGGCGCTGAAAAAACACAAAGGAGGGGGCGCATCTGCTCCGCGCTGGCGCCGCAAAGCATCATGGGAGTTGTAGTCTTTGCGGTAAAATTGGTCTGCTAATATAATGTCTCCAGGCAACAAGTTTTTTAAGAGGCCACTCTCTAATGTAATCTGCTTATCGCTGACTCTCCCTGCCCAGGCACAAGATATATATGTAACATAGCCTTGGGGCGCAACTCCAATTAGAAATTTTACAGTATGATAGTGCTTATAATTTGACCGAGTTTGTGCTTGGGCTAATAAATTAGAGGGCCTCTCAATGAAAACTTCAAAACAATCAACTATCACAGCAACTTTATTTCCAAATGCCTCTCTGAATGACATTGGCATTGTTGCATGAAGTACATGTCGCTCTGACCACTCAATTTGAAATTCTAGTATTTCATAAAGTATGTCAATTAATTTATGCCAAATTCTGGAAGCACTGGACAGAGAAATCTTGAATCTGAAAGCTAAATCTTTCAGTGGGAGATTTAGTCTCAACCTAATTAAAACTAACATAAACTGTTCAAATTTAGACAGCACAGACATGGGGCCATAGGTGATGTAGGGCTCACACAGCTCAAAAATCTGCAATAAAACTAAAAAGTTGGGGAGTCCCTTGTAGAATTTAGTCTTGTCCTCATTTTTTTTTTCAAATGAGTTCTGACAAAAATTTGTGTCCAGTTTTTTGGAGTGAAGATCTGCCAGCTCTGTTGTGTTCTGTCTCAGAACGTCCTCCATCTTCTCAATGTCCTTCATCGTAAGCTCTGTCTGGGTCCCGGCATCTGCGTAGCCTGCAATCGGAGGGCATAATTACTGAAGTCAAGTCAAGTAATTGTGTCTGTATCATTAAAAATAATGTATAAACAGTTGAGATAGGATAAAAAGATTGCAACTCTACCAAGCACTTGAGCCAAATGATTTGTAGAGCCATGGTAAATGTAAAAAAAAAATCTTATTTTTTAAAAATGTGTAATGACAATTTTACAAGATGTGTACACCTCCCTGTTTTAGATGTCCCTATTTTAAGCAGCACTTGATTCATTTCTATTATAATGGCTGGGAAAATCAGAAGCCGTGTTAATAACTGGTGCTAGGGCTGCTCGGTTATGGCAAAAATAATAATCACGATTTTGGTGACTGAAATTGTGATCTCGATTATTTAGGACGATTTTTCAATTTATGTTGATTTTATTTGTTTTTATTCAGTCATAAAATTGTTCAGGGCGCAATCAGGACAAAAATAAATAAGAAACAGTGGCACAGGAGTTAAGTGCTCGCCTCGCAACCGGAAGGTCGCCGGTTCGAGACCCGCTCTGTCTGTCGCTGTCGTTGTGTCCTTGGGCAAGACACTTAACCCACATTGCTTGCTGGTGGTGGTCGGAGGGACCGGTGGCGCCAGTGCTCGGCAGCCTCGCCTCTGTCAGTGCGCCCCAGGGCAGCTGTGGCTACATTGTAGCTCATCCCCACCAGTGTGTGAATGTGTGTGTGAATGGGTGAATGACTGATTGTGTTGTAAAGCGCCTTGGGGGGTTCCAGGACTCTAGAAGGCGCTATATCAAATACAGGCCATTTACCATTTACCATTTACAAGATGATCACTAAAATAACTCCTGATTCCCAGTATAAAAAGACCAATATACTTATAGCTCATAGTTTATGACCCAAGGGCTATAGACCTTGGTTTAATTCATTTAAGTCTAACCAGTACAGACCCAAATACCAATATCTTGCAAATACTGACAGCAAGAATTATACAGTGGCATTTATAACAAATAAATGCAAATAAACTGATGTTCACAAAATGTTGCATAACATTTATTGAGTCGTGTCAAGGTGCTGTAGGAGAGTGCACTAGCACCGTGTCCTCAGAGAGATTAGTTATTATTTATCAGCGTGAGGAACTTATTTCTACCTTATTTATAATTTACAAGTCCATCAGTTAATGTAATAATTGTCCCAACCACAGCTGCACCCCCCACCCCCCAACCTGGTCTCACAGCAATCAGGGGCAAGCTGCACTGTTTAGCGCGCCGCACACGCACATTTAGCCGTTTTTAGTGGCTCAGAAGTCCGCAGGTGCGGTGTGCGTGTCACTCACTCTGGTTAATCCAACAGGGAGCCGGCTCTGAGAGCTGTTTCTTTAGCGACTGACACATCACTACATCATTCCCTTTCCTAATGTCCTGAAGAACGGTCCGGAGCGCAGGCGGAGTGTTTAGCTAACCTGCAGGAAATGTCAACGACAGTTATCCAGAAAGTAGCTAAGGGTTACCAGAGATGTTTCTCAGGTGTTCGCTAGGTACTTTTAAGATTTAAAAAATCAAGAAGGCCTGAAAAGCTGTTGGAAATAGCGTCAAAGTCGCCAAGTTGGCAACACTGGGAGCGCTTCATTTGCAACTCAGGGCAGCACAAGTGGGAGGAGCAAATTATCGGCTTGTTTTGTTTGTATAATCATTCAAAACTCAGATCATAATTGTGATTAAAATTCGATTAATTGAGCAGCCCTAACTGGTGCATCGTTTTAGTTATGTGCTAGAAAGCAACTTTAACCTAAAGAACTGTAAGCTAAAATGTGTATAAGCATTAAGTTAAGACATTACTGTTTTGATAAGATTATTGGAATAAATCAGTATTTGCATCTAGATTTAGGGTATGCCGGACATCATTTACTGAACATCTTAGGTGTGTTCTTGCTGTGTCTTTGTAAATCCATGCTTTCGTTTTTTTTTAAACACAGAAACAGTTTTGTTTACCTGTTTGTAGCTACGGTTTCGCCGACAGCTGCCGGCTTCTTCAGGCTGACGCTGATGGTGGCGCGTCACTTCCTTCTCCGTTCCTTCTTCTATAAACGGAGAAGGAAGTGACGCGCCACCATCAGCGTCAGCCTGAAGAAGCCGGCAGCTGTCGGCGAAACCGTAGCTACAAACAGGTAAACAAAACTGTTTCTGTGTTTAAAAAAGAACGAAAGCATGGATCATTTACTGAAACTGTATTGCAGAAATATGTTAAAAAATAAAGATGTTGTCTGTTGTCTCAGTCAGTGCGCCCCAGGGCAGCTGTGACTGCATTGCAGGTCATCACTATCAGTGTGTGAATGGGTGAATGATGTAAAGCTCTTTGGAGTCCTCTGACTCTGAAAGGCGCAACACAAGTTCAGGTCATTTATATGTTTACATTATATGTTGCATGCTGTTTTAGATTCTTAACCACATCTGCAGTATAAACATAAAAAAAAAACGTACCTCCATCATTAAACGTCTCAATCACACCGATGCGCTCGGACTGTGGGTGGTCAGGTGTCAGCGTTGGTTCAGAGCTCTCAACTCTCTGCTTGTCTGGTATCTGAAGATCCAACAGAGTTTCTGCACAATCATACCGTTTTTGTTTGTCTTCCTTTAGCTTCATCCTCTGATCCCGTTGAAGAGAGGCTTCTGACTTGGGCTTAGACTTCTGGTAACAGAGGTTGACCGTTGGAGCCCAGTCTTCCGACTCAACCTCATCTAAGGAGCTAGGGCGGCCTAAAAAGTCGAATAATGTTCATATTAAGACTAAAAGTAATAACTACAATAGAACTAACATTGCGGTATTTAAACACCGCCATAAAACAACGTTAGCTGTTAATATACCTTGGAGGAAGTGGTCACCGCAGACGCGGGCATTGTCAGACTCTGCTCCTCCTGACCGCAGGCGTAGGTTTAAAATCCATTTTTTCCGACGTTGTTCTGTAAGCTTTTTATACTTGTCGCCTCTGTGAACGACAACCTTCGGTACTCTAAAAAATCTTTTATTTTTTTCTCGGTTAGAGCGATTGGAGCAACCATAAACAACACAAAACATAGGCATTTTTACCGTTGCGATTGCTAAATTGCTGTATTCCACTTCACTTCCTGCCCTCCAACGAATTTGCGCACGCTGGTGATGACGTCACATGAAACCCAGCTATTGGGGAATGGGCACGTACACACCCAAACAGACACAGAGCCGGGGACAAAGAGGCTGGAGCTACAACTGGAAGGGATGGGGACAGTGGCACAGGAGTTAAGTGCTCGCCCCGTAATCGGAAGGTTGCAGGTTCGAGCCCCGCTCAGTCTGTCACTGTCGTTGTGTCCTTGGGCAAGACACTTAACCCACGTTGCCTGCTGGTGGTGGTCGGAGGGACCGGTGGCGCCAGTGCTCGGCAGCCTCGCCTCTGTCAGTGCGCCCCAGGGCAGCTGTGGCTACATCGTAGCTCATCCCCACCAGTGTGTGAATGTGTGTGTGTGAAAATGGGTGAATGACTGATTGTGTTGTAAAGCGCCTTGGGGGGTTTCAAGAACTCTAGAAGGCGCTATATCAAATACAGGCCATTTACCATTTTACCATTTACCATGATCGAATGCCTACAAACACATAAATGAGACGCAGACAAAGGACACATGAGGGCGCTGTGAGACACAAAAGGGAATCTAGAGAGGGATGGAGGACACCAGGAGGCACATGAAGGAGGGGGCAGACGCATACCATGACAATCTCATTATATAACATACACATAATGAAGAAAGATGAAAAGAACTTAAAAGAGGACATTGATCTCTGTTTTTGTTCTAAGAAGACATGAATGGACACCTTAAAAAAGGGGGGGTTATTCGTTTTATGAAATGTTGTATGTCAAAATTTGAATGAATTCTTTGAGAAAAGGAAAGCTCATGTTTAATGTAAGTTTGTTAATGTTAATGATCCATTTTGTAACGGCCACTAGAGGTATAAATGTAATTCGTGTTAAACATGAATTAGGGGCCAGAATGTGGTGGCCCTTTCAGTAAAGTAACATAAATCTGTTAGTTATAAATTTCTTTTAGAATTCCTTCTTTTATCATTCCCTTTATAATAAGTTAAGTTTGCAATTAAAATTTGTTAATTTTTTGTTTTTTGGCAAATTGATGTAGTTGAATTTTTTGGACACGCCTTAGTCATTAAGCTTATTAGTAGCACATGGGGAGGTGTGTGAAAGAATGTTTGTTGGCCAAGTGTCAGGGAAAATGGGAGGATTTGGTTAAATGATTTTTTTTTACCATTTTTATACCTGATAATTTTATTTAAGGTTAATTTTCATTTGATCAAAAGTAGAACATTTTGAATGAATTCTGAACAATTTTTTGGAAGAATAAACCATTTATAAAATTTGTAAGAAATCAAGTCTAAAGTGCGTGCTTAGAGGAAATCATCTGTTTTCACCAACGGCCTTTAGTTGGAAATCAAATTTTTTTTGGAAGTATAAAGGCCGTGACATCTATTATGTTGATTCATTCATTACTGTAAAGCAGTCAGGACATTATTTTATTATATTAAATCGCTTTAGTTAAAAGATTAATTACATAATGTAATTCTAATTAATCTTTAAAGTGAATACTTGATTGTATGAGAAAGAATAACATTCTTTTATTAAGGGTTAAGGTTTCTGTCCTTTGTCTGGAGTCTTCTGACGAAGCACAGATTCTGTTATGACTGTACCTCCCGGTTGCGAGGTCACGAGCAATGTGTTATCTGGTTTGGAGACCAGAGAGTAACCTGTGGCACACTGATGAAGTGGACAGTGTTTTAACCTTTGCATTTCATTGCTTTCTTCACCTTCATGGTGGATGGCTGCTTATACTGAGCCAGGATCCTCTGGAGGTTTATTCCTGTTAAAAGGGAGTTTTCCTCTCCACTGTCGCTAAATGCTTGCTTAGTATGAGGAATTGCTGTAAAGAATCTGACACTAGTCAGTGACTTTATGCAACCTTTATGCTGGGTTTCTTATATAGGAACCTTTTTACTAATTGATCCTCAGTCAGCACCTAGTTTTACCTCTGCTGGTCAAACTAAATTCAGCTTTCATAAAATGTCTAAGGTTTGCTGATAAAAGATCCAAGATGTTACATCCAGACAACAGATCCACTAATCCAGTGTCAAGTCATGGAGGCAAAGTATTCATGAGGGTAACCCAGACCTACCTCCTTCCCAGTGACTCTCCAGCTCCTCCATGAGGATCCCAAGGTGTTAACAGGTCAGAGAAGATTTATAAACCTCTGGGTGATGCATGGGTCTTCCACTCCAGGGGGAGGTAGCCAGGAGGCATCTTAGACAAGTTCCTGGACCACCTAACTGGAATCCTCAGTGTGAAGATGAATGTGTTGATACTCACCGATTTCAAGCCAGTTACATTTACTCTATTTCTTCAAACCAATGTTGTTTACGGAGCAATCTACACAAACAGCTCCACAGAAACTGACTTTAAGGTTCAGTTAGAAAGTGGTCAGCATGTTTCCCCATGAATAAATTAGCATCACAACATTTCTGTATCCAGTCAAACTTAAAATGTCTATGACTTGCAAAGAGATGGAGATGTACGTTGATTACAGCTGAGGAAGAGTTTCAAATGGAGAGGATTTTGAATTGAAGGTGTAGTGTGAGACGTTCAACTTGTGACTTCATTGTCCTCCACCCTCCAGTCACTCTTCCTCTAGGTTAGATGCGCCCTCTAGTGGCCAACTCAAAAACACACACCCGCAGAGTGTCTCATCGACCCACACGTGTCAGTGAGGATAACCATCACGACGATCCCGGGGAATTCTGGGAAAACATTCTATGAACTGACAGACAAAAAAGGGAGACATCTTGGTCTGGATTCAAACCAACACAAAAAGATCAGACCTACGGGCTACATAGTGGAGCAGGTAGTGGCACTGTAACCTTGCAACTAAAAGGTTGCTGGTTTGAATCCCGGCTGCAGTCTTTCTGTGCAGAGTTGGCATGTTCGGCCCAAACATGTGGGTTTTCTCCCAGTGCTCTAATCCCAGAGCAGGAGCATGTTTGAATTTGCATAAAAGCGTAAAATGCACAAACACAAGCCAGACACGGTGGTGGTAGTGTGGTGGTCTGGGGCTGCCATGCTGCTTCAGGACCTGGACCACCTGATGTAAAGGATGGAACCATGAATTCTGCTTTCTAGCAGAATGTCTTGAAGGAGAATGCCTGACCTTTGACTTTTAACAGGATTTTCCTGCTGAAAACCTCCAATGTGGCTGAATTCAGACGAACCTGTCAAGTCTGGAATAAGTCTACTGATGATGAAAAAGAAATAAAGACAGAAAATGTTGACTTTATGATTGCTGAGTCTCTAAAATAAAAAAAACCCATACAATTTAACGTGAGTATTAATACATTTATTACATACTAAAAGATATTTTTCACACAACCCGGCGATGCTCCCAGGACAACAACAGCCATACAAAGTTGTTCTCCTACATACATGAGTATCAGTAATACTCTGGCCTTCAGCCTTATGAGGAGACACCAGTACCTTTCCAGGTTGAGACTGCTGGTCATAAACTAAGAAAGTTAGAAACCAGTTAACTGATATAACCAGGGTCAGATTAGCTTTCTAATGTTAGAATTGTTCCACGGGGGACAGATCAATGCATTATGTTGAGGGCAGGTCGCTTTAGACTATTTTAAAAGGTTTCATTAACAGGAAACCACGTAACACGTGTTTTTGTTTTATAAACTCAAGTTCCACAAGCTCAACGTGAACGTTTTAAGTATCTTTGCCTGCATTTGCTGCAGAAAGGAAAGACGTGGTAAATGATCGGGTCGGAAAGGGCTAGTCTCTTCTACGCCTCGGTGCAAATTAACATTTCATGATGTTTTCCTCTTGGATGAATCACAGTAATGTGATCTGGCCCATCTCTGCCTGGATGTGTATGATATTTTATTAAGTTGCTCTCCAGAGGAAATACTTCCATATTGTTTACAGAGAACACAGCAAACGTTTAGTTTTTTTAAAAAGTAAATTATTTCATTAGTTAAAATTTTAGAATAGTCTCCATCAGCAGCGCTGCATTAGATCAAAGACCTTCAAAGGGGACCTAGAATGCAGTTAATCAGCAATCTAAAACTGATCTCTGAGCCTCTATGAATTTTGTTGGAGCTTAAAATCTCCCACGAGCCCCGACTAAAACACACATAAGTCCTGTTCTCCCCTCAGACTTCACCAGTGTGTGTGTGTGTGTGTGTGTGTGTGTGCGAGTGCGCGCATGCGAGTGAGTGAGTGTGTTGGGGAATTTGAAGAGAGATAAATGAAAGCGGAAACTAAACTGAAGTCAGGGTTTCTCAGTAAGCTCCCACTCAAACCTTACATAACAGATCTTTTAACAAGAAGGCTTTAAAAACAATTAATTTTTGCACTACATATAAATTACCGTATTGACCCGAAGAGGCTGAGATTTTTCTAGGATTGTACGTTTCAATTGTGATTAAAATTATTCTTTATTTTGAAAAAAAAAGTTAATTTTTAGATGCCATCAGTATGTGAGGTATCTCAATGATTTCATGAAAAACTCTAACATGAGACTGTGCTCTAACCTGTCACATAACAAGCTAAGTGAAAGCCAAACATTTCAGATGGACCGTATGACAGCTGTTAACTTTGGCCCTGCCCTACTTTACCTCTACATTACAGTTCCTTTATCCATGTCCATGTAGAGCTCCTCTCTGACCTTCATGCTTATTTAGAGCAGCTGATTTTTAAAGTTAGCAGAGTTCATCCTTGGTAGTGGGTTCACTCACTCAGTTAAACCTTCACCACTGAAATCAGTTTGTTCATTCCAATCCTCCTAAATAATCCTCCAATCATCCAACTGGAATCCTTAAGGGTCCCGTAACGTCCATCCTGTCAGAATACACCTTGGGAGCCCAGGTGTTACTAGAACTAATGGTGTCTCCTCACCAGCGTGAGCCTCCAAACTGTGAAGGTTGGTCTCCAAACATGAACTTAATTCATGCATTTATCTCCTCTTGTAACACTTTAACATGTTTTAAAAGGCTTGTATCATGATATATTGTACCTATCTTTGGTCTGGGAGGTAAAACATAGAATATTATCATGAACACTGCAGAGATGTCATTATTTATGAAATAGAAGTTATTTTCCTGAGCCATTACT